CATTGCATGGATTATAATCAATTCATCATTAAAGATAGAGACAAGTTAAAGGATGCTTTGTAAAGCTCCAATACTAGTCTTACCAAACTCCAACAATATTTTTGTGTTAAAAACTAATGCATGTGTAAATGGGTTTGATGTAATTTTAAGTTAGAAATGGAGGTCGTTAGCCTTTTTTAACAAGGCATTGAGTCCAAAAAATATTGGATTATCAATCTATGAGAAAGAGTATATAGCTATATTAATGGTAATAGAAAGATAGAAACACTATATGGATTATAGTCAATTCATCATTAAAATTAATCATGAAAGCTTAAAATATATTTTAAAGCAAAAGATTCAAGCTCCTATATAGAAAGAATATTTAATCAAGTATTAAGATTAATATATTAAATCCAGTATAGAAAGGGCAATGAGAATATGATAACAGATGCTTTATTGAAAACAATTAAATGAATATAGTCTAGTAACCGAAGGTCAAGTATTTGATAATGACATTGAAATTATAAGGGCTATTATTGTAATGGTAATAGGATAGTATGAAAAAGTAAGTGAGATTTACAAGAATGATTCTTAGTTGCAAGGAATGATTGTTGGGAAATTGTTAAGTGCAAGTAGCTAGTCAAATTACACTTTTGTTGAAGGGGTTCTAAGATATAAGAATACGATAGTCATTGGCAAAAAAAAAATTTTAAGGGAAGATTCATGAGTGTTACACTTGATTCATATATAAAGGGTTATACAAGGGTATAAAATCCCTATAAAAATCTTAACACAGTGTTTTAATGGCCTTTAAGAAGGACTTTGGTTAAAAAATTTGTAAATGAATATGATATGTACAAACAAGCCAAAATGAAAATGGTAGCATATCTTGGATTACAACAACCATTTTAAATAACTAAAGGAATTTAAATAAATATAACCATGGATTTTATAGAAGGGTTGCCACACTCAGGGGAAAATATATTATATTTATGTTAGTTGACAAGTTCATCAAGTATGGATATTTCATAGCTATAACACACTCTTTTGCAACTCAAGAGATAATGTAGGTGTTTTTGGACCACCTTTATAAATTCCATGTGTTCTTGGAACACCCCTGTAAATTCCATGGGCTGCTAAACAACTATTGTCATAGATAAATACAAGGTTTTCAATAGTTTCATTATAGAAGGAACTATACAAATTATTAGGGGTGAAGATTCTAATGAGTTTATCAAATTACCCATAAACTAATGGTCAAACTGAAAGGGTTAATCAATGCTTAGAGACTTATTTAAGGTATATAACTATGCACAATCTAAAGAAATGACATTGTTAGTTATCATTTGCTCAATGGTGTTAAAACTATAGTTTTAAAACCTGGCCCAACAGGTTGACCAAAGATCGAGACCGGGCTGAGTTTAATAAAAAATAAAAAAATACATAAAACTAGTAACCCAATCAAAGACTCAAGTTGATCCAATGACCTAGTTAACCTAGCAATACCCAGTCAAAAACATAGTTGCAACTCGTTACTTTAAAAAAAAATGATATTTTTTTATTTTATAAAAAAATTAAGGGTTAACCTATGATGATCTGATGATCCGGTTAAAACTCATGACCTGAAACTTAGACCAAGTTTAGAAAGTATGGTTAAAACTCTAGCTTTCATTCTACCATTAAGACGATTCTTTTTCAAGTTCTATATAAATACCTTCCATTAAGTAGAGATAATTACATAAAAAACTATAACATTGATTGTGAAAGAAGAGGTATTTTGAAGAAGGGCTAACATAGAGCACAAATGGAAATGACCAAACATAAAATAAAACAAAATATCAGACACTGAAATAACATAAAAAGAATATGAGATGGGAGATTTAATGTATCTCAAACTTCAACCTTATAGGTAGGCCGTATGACATTAAGAGAAATCATATTGTTGAATTATAGATTTTATGATCTATACAAAATTATGTAAATGATTGGATTAATAGCATATAAGTTATAGCTGCCAGAAACATTTGTGAAAAACTGTAATCGAGTTGTGGTAATGAGACACATCCAATGGTTCAAATTATACAAAGAAGATACAACTTAGAGAGATTTAAAAGAACTCTTAAGTCAGTTTCTTGATTTTTGCTTTGATTCTTAAGATAAAATTCTCATAAGCAGGGAGTGTTGTTACAAGTTCAAGTGATCTCATAGTAAGCCTAGTAGGAAACAATTGCAGAATATAATAAAAGAAATTGCAATCAATTTTGTAGCAAGATTAAGAAAATTACATGTGACAATGTTAGTTAACTAGTCATTCAATTAGATTAGTTAGTAACTAGTTACAAGTTCAGTTTGTTGCTAGAGAAGTTGAATTCTTATATAAATGAATCAACATAAATAAATAATTGTAACTCAAGTAATAAAATAATTTTAAGGTAGTTTATAATTTTTAGTACAATTCCAACTCTTTACTTTAAAAAAAATTTGATATTTTTTTATTTTATAAAAAAATTAAGGGTTAACCTATAATGATCTAATGATCCGGTTAAAACTCATGACCTAAAACTTAGACCAAGTTTAGAAAGTATGGTTAAAACTCTAGCTTTCATTCTACCATTAAGACGATTCTTTTTCAAGTTCTATATAAATACCTTCCATTAAGTAGAGATAATTACATAAAAAACTATAACATTGATTGTGAAAGAAGATATATTTTGAAGAAGGGCTAACATGGAGCACAAATAGAAATGACCAAACATAAAATAAAACAAAACATCAGACACTGAAATAACATAAAAAGAATTTAAGATGAAAGATTTAATGTATCTCAAACTTCAACCTTATAGGTAGGCCGTATGACATTAAGAGAAATCATATTGTTGAATTATAGATTTTATGATCTATACAAAATTATGTAAATGATTGGATTAATAGCATATAAGTTATAGCTGCCAGAAACATTTGTGAAAAACTGTAATCGAGTTGTGGTAATGAGACACATCCAATGGTTCAAATTATACAAAGAAGATACAACTTAGAGAGATTTAAAAGAACTCTTAAGTCAGTTTCTTGATTTTTGCTTTGATTCTTAAGATAAAATTCTCATAAGCAGGGAGTGTTGTTACAAGTTCAAGTGATCTCATAGTAAGCCTAGTAGGAAACAATTGCAGAATATAATAAAAGAAATTGCAATCAATTTTGTAGCAAGATTAAGAAAATTACATGTGACAATGTTAGTTAACTAGTCATTCAATTAGATTAGTTAGTAACTAGTTACAAGTTCAGTTTGTTGCTAGAGAAGTTGAATTCTTATATAAATGAATCAACATAAATAAATACTTGTAACTCAAGTAATAAAATTACAAGCTTGAGTTGCCAAGTACATATATATTGCTTGTCAAGATACCTTAATTTTAAGGTAGTTTATAATTTTTAGTAAGTATTTGTTTACGTAGTAGCTTCTGCTTTTAAAGCTTACCACGTAAACATAAGTTTGGTAACATAAAAATTTAATTGCTTTTCATGTGGGACCCATATATATTTTTTATGAAGCACCGTTTTATGAGAACCAGCTCTTAGCTACTTCTCACGTCTGCAACCACGTGAATATAATTCACCTGGACACTTTTTGTATGAACAGTGCTCATGTGAATTTCACTTAACATTGTTCATGTAAATAGTGTAGGTGAATAACTACTTATATTTAAAAAAAAATATTTTAAAAAAAATATATTTTACTCAAAAAATTAGTGTTTAATATTACTTAATAACACTATATAAATTAAAAGGAGGTTGCTTGATGACGTAACATTTATAGAATTTGATCGCAAACCCAATTATGTTCTTGCCGGGTCCAACCTAGTTTAAAAAATCTAATTTTTATTTTTATTTGTAATTGTGTTTTATTCAAAAAATTAAAAAAAAAATTGTTTGATGATGTAACAAAAAATCCAGTCTTTATTGTCTGCAACCAGGTGAATATAATTCACCTAGGCATTGTTCGTATGAACAGTGCCCATGTGAATTTCACTTGGTAAGTGTAGGTAAATAACTACTTATATTAAAAAAATTATTTTTTAAAAATTATATTTTACTTGAAAAATTAGTGTTTAATATTATTTAATAACACTACATAAATTAGAAGGAGATTGCTTAATGACGTAGTATTTACAAAATTTGATATCAAGCACAATTAGGTTCTTGCCAGATACGACCCAGTTAAAAAAATTCAGTTTTTATTTTTATTTATAATTATGTTTTATTTAAAAAAATTAGAAGGAGATTATTTGATAATATAACAAAAAAAATTAATTTTTATTATTACGCGCTTAAGAAACCATGAAAAATATAGTTCTTGTTGGATAAATTTCGTAGATGATAAAATTATATATAATTTAATGGAATAATAAAAAATATTAGATATCAATATTATTTATTTCATACAGTAATTAAATTTACAATATTTAAATTAAAAACTATTAATATTAATATGTATAATTTTTAATTATTTTATAACCTTAATTTAAAAAATATTATTTTAATCAAACATATTAAATTATTTTTAATTCAATTTTAATTTCAACCATAATTTTAATTAAAAATATATTTTTTCAAACTAATTTTAATTAAAAAAAATTTTCTAAAATTGTTTTTTTTTCAAACTATAGTCACAGCTATCACAATATCCCTACCAAGATTAAGGTTCGGTTGAAACTGTTGATGATGAATTAAACTATTTTTTATATAATTTTTTAAAAACTAAAAGTACAAAATAAATAGTTTGTTTTTTATTTGAAAGTTCAAATAGGAAAATTATATGCAGAACAATTATTGTCCTTTGGATCTGCAGAACTGTTTTTGTCTGGGACCATAGATGTGAGGGGTCACTGAACACCTCCACAACCACCAGAAAAGTCAAATGTTAGCCGAAACACGTCTTGATTCATGGAAGAGAGAGCTTGTCATGTGTGGTCACGAAAGAGAACGGAGAGAAACAAAAAGAAATTGTGAAAGATGTGAAATGGAATCTGTGTCCAACCAGTCCCTTTCCCACCAAAAAATCAAAGCACAACTCAAAAAATTCTTATCAGCCATAAACTTAAAAACACAAATTTATTTATAATAACATATAATGACACAATCATCGTCACTTAACAGCCTTTTCAACAGCTGTGATTGAAGCAGAGTCTCCTGTAATAGAATCATACCTCTTAAACAAGTAAGCCACCATCATAGAACCAGTGAGGGTCACATAATCCTTGGCTGCACATTGTTTATTCGACTCACTTGGTGACCCCGTCTGCGGCCCATTTGACCAGTACAAGTAATTCAGTAATTCTCTCCCTTCCTCACCCATAAACCTGTCTGCTCTAAAACTCTCTGGATCATCAAAAACTTCTGCGTCTCTCATCACCAAGGGTTGATACCCACATAGCAGCTCGCCTTTTTTTATGTCAAAAACTGAGTCGTGCGAGCTCAGTTGAAAGTCTTTCCTAGCTCTTGCAAATTGAAGGGGAACAGGTGGGCTGAGTCGAAGCGTTTCATAAACAACTGATTGAACCAGTGGCATTTTCATCACTGACTCGAAAGATAAACTTGGACCAGCATTTTGTCTGACTTCATCGCGCAGTTTTTCTTGTAATGCGGTGTCACTTACTATTCTGCTTATCAGACCGGGTAGAAATATAGAAAACCCTCCAAAGGCATTGAATCCTAGAATGAATAGCAGGTTATGGATGGTTTCTTCTTGATTCAGTCCGAATTCAGTCTCGGCATAGCGTAACAATTCTTTAGCTACATACAAATTCCATGCACTATAACATTAGTCCGATCACAAAAACATCGTCAACTCTGAATAAATCAATGAATCATGATTATGAAAGATGCAAATTTGAACTGATGTTGAATTTAAGTTTACCTTCATTTGTTATGAACTGGTATAACTTGTTGTAGTCTCCACTAACAAGGAAAAAAGGGTAGGAGAAAGAGTGTAGGAAAATTTCCTCCAAAGGTTGCAGGATACCAATTTTGACGGTGGGAAGGAGCTGGAGAGCAAGCCACTTGTCCAATGCTTAGATAATAACTTACCAGTTTCAATCATGTTTTTGCAGCGGATCTTATTCATGAAACTGACATCTCTCAAACAAGGAAACTGGCAATTGGCATCCATTTTTACCATCTCAAAAATGTGGTTGGCGGATTATGATCGAACATTTACTGGCACTTCCAAATCCATGGCATTACATGAAATATCATTTTCAGGACCAACCTGAGTTCTAATATTTGCCAACTAGCATTCACACCCACCAGATTCCATGATGCCATGGGAACTCTCTCTGTTTCAAACTGATACAATCATGTGGGATCGGAAGTGCCATACTAGAAGTCAAACCCGACTACTGTACACATAAGTAACACGTACAATAAACTGGTAAAAATCCAGATATTTGAGACTACTGAAAGCCAAGATAGTCTCATGGTTTTTTTTTAAAAAAAAAAAAAAAACTGCGGTCTTTCGTTAATCTATCACTGATATTGAGAAGGAAAAAAAATTTTGATGACCCCAGATGAGAACATGAATCTGATTAGGTAAAATGTTAGTAACACCAGCACCTTTTTTTCTTTTACGGTAACGGTTCATTTCATAATTTTGTATTTGTTCTATACCGCAAGGGAGTTGCCTAAAGAGCTAAAAGAGAGAAGTTTAGCATAGATCGGACAACAAAGCAAGAGGGCCAGCAACGAAGATTTCGAAATGTCAGCTGGTCGACAGTGTTGGAGTCGAACAACTTCCAAATGAATGGTGACTTGAACTCTTCTTATCTCTTATAAAATATCTAGAAAGTCAATAATTGATCTTATCAAAGCCATTTTCTTGCTCTACCATTCAAACTATGGATTGTAACGTGGGATAACTCATATCACATATCTTTAGCACTTCATTTTGAATTCTTTTCTAAATATTTTCAACACCTTTAACTTTAAAAATAAATCTCCTTGGTCTATGAAGTTTTTCATCTCATGAAAAAAAGCAATTTCAAAATAGAAAAATCAGCTTGAATCCTAGGGACTTGATCTTTTTTTGCGCTTGTTGACAGGGTTCGACTTCACCACCTAAAAGGCAGCTCCTAATTCTCTTTTTAGAGAGAACAAATTAGTAGTAAAAGAAGAAGATACTGATAATAACAAGGGAAGATCATTCTATTCTACTCTGTACTAAAGAAGTAGGGTGCGCACAACAGTGAAGTATTTGCCTCTCTTTTTTCCTCAATCTTTTTTCTCAAATTCTTTGAACGGTCATTAGGATTGCCTTTCCATTCTAATTTCAGAAAAAGAGTTCTGAAAAAGGCCATTTCTTTAATAAAGAGGATTTTACATGGTGATTCGAAAACGCAACCTCTCACAGGAAAGAAAGTACCTTTCTTGCCATCAGTTTTCTCAGTCAATTTTGATTTCTTCAAACTGTTAGGACCAATTAAAAAGTACAGTTCTTAAAAGAGAGAGAGAGAGAGAGAGAGAAAGGAGAAATGGGCAAATATATAGATAGTTGCAGATTAAACACAGCAAAAGTAAAACAGAAAAATTAAAAAAAAGGGGGATAACAATGGAGATATATATACAGTTGAGGATTGTAAATTATATACCTGAGTATGTTGTGGCTCAGAGGTATCAAGATAAGCACAAGTCCTGATATTCCCAGTGAACTTTACACTAGGCATGAACTCACCGACAAGGATGTTCTTCTTCTCCACAATATCCATGTCAAAAAGATAAGCAAAGGACTTGGTATCAAGAACTGCTACAACGTTCGGATTGACCCCAGCAAAGAAAGGAAATGTTGGAGGCACATTTGTGCGGAACACAGTGGACTTGTACTTGTCAATGCGTTTCTTGAAGAAGGTATCAGGACCCTGGAACCAGAAGTAGTCTAGCCTGTCTGAGATGGGTCCTAACAAAGGCCAGCCGTATGATCCAGGGATTGTACGGAGTGGCAGGGAAGCGGGTGCTGGAGACTGAGTAGGAGGTGATGATGACGGCATGCCTGGAGATATGCTCATCATTCGGCAGGTCATCATCGTGCCCATGGCCATGGATGTAGTGGGTGTGGTGATGAAGTGAGGATGATGTCTAAAAATATCAACTAATTGTTTGTGTGTGATTTGATGACTACAGTAAGATATATAGAGAGAGCAAAGCAGGACACTGAATCTTCTTGGTGGATGTGGAAGCGTGTAATATCGGTGATGGAGACGGAGATGGAGATGTGCCGGTGATGAGAGTTAGGGGGGTTGTAACGTTGCCGATCAATAAATGATGCTTGTGGAAGAGCAAAAACATGGATAAGACAATTTGTTTTTTTCTTTATAACTCTTTTCAAATCTTGTCTGTTCACTCTGATAATGGCAAAGTATGATATTATTAAATTTTGCTCAACTTATTTATTTAATTAGTTCCACATACAAATCTTTATTTAGTAGTATTATTTTCTTATTGGTTACGCGGTGGGGTGATTGTGATTATATTTTAAATAATTTTTTATTAAAATATATATTAATATTTTTTTATTTTAAAAAATTATTTTTAATATTAATATATTAAAATAATTTAAAAACACTAAAAATTGTTAATTTAAAATTAATAAAATATATAAAATATATAATTTAAAAAAAAAAACAAAAACAATTCACAACCGAAATGATTTGATGGGTTCGTTTTCTATACTTCCACGTGTTTTATATATATATATATAAAGAAATCCCTAAGCATCTGTATTAAAAAATTACAAACATGTATGGTATGTCACTCTGGTCGGTGTCCCCACTCCGAAGGGTGAAGAAGAATATGTAAAACGTGCTGAGTGATAAGATACGAGCCCAAACTTTAATTCACATCTATAAAATCCTAATTATCTTAGTTAGGTGTGCTTTGTAGTTTTAGTAAATGATTGTTTTTTAAATTATGTTTTATTTAAAAAAAAACAAATCAATGTATTTTTAATTATTTTATAATAATTTTAATATATTAATATTAAAAATAAAAAAAATATTAAAAAAATTATTATTTTAATACATTTCTGATTTAAAAATATTTTTAAAAATCACATACTATTATGTTTTTAAAAACATTTTTAAAAATCACATACTATTATGTTTAGCGTTGTGATCAATCATCCTATTAAATTTTATTTGATTTTTAATTAATTATATTTTTATATTTATAAATAGTTTTAATGTATTAAAATTAAAAATAAAAAATTTATTTTAATATATTTTCAGGTAAAAAATATTTTTTATCATCAAGCTAATAATGTAAGTATAATTATATAAAATTAAAAAAAAATATGTAATCATAATTATTTTTTTCTTGAATTAATTACTCTAGAGTGTAATTTCAATTACCATGAATAAAGTGATATTCTCACCGCAAGAATTAATAGTTTTGCAGCATTAATTAGAATGTGGTCCTCCCCACTAGTAATATTGTAAGAAAAAGAGGAGGGATGGTGTTGATTTCTGTCCATGAGTTGTGGTTGTTGCCAGGACATAGGTACCTTGGCAAAAGAAAACGACATCGGCATGAAAAATAATAGTCCGGAGACAATGGATGCCTTCCAAGAACATGGTACACATGTGGGGGGAGATGTCCAGAATTATTGTATTATTTTATACCCCACGCTGAAAAAAAATCAGATTTTACTTTTACTAGACAGGCTAGGATTTAGGAGCAGAAAGGCATTTTTAATAAACCTCTTAATAATCACTTTAGAGAAGGGAGTTAATTAGTGTTTTTATATTTTTATCCATAATATAATTACTAAATAACCCTCAGCAAAACAATTTTTTTCCTTTTAGTTCCAGCGGCTTTTCTTTTTTGTTTTCCAACTAAATTACTTAAATGCCCCTCAGAAATAATCTTTCTTTAACTATGGATACAAGTGCACTTCAGGTATTTTGCTACATGTTTTTTTCTATAATTCTCGTGTGGGTTAAAGGGTAATTGAATCATTTAATATATAGTTGATGTGTACTAGGCATTACGCCAACAAGTAGGCTCCACAAGTGCTCTTTGATGGTGCATAGCGTCTCATTATCTCAATTATGATGGTTAGGCGCGGGGTTGTATCCGACACATAACGGAGCTCCGGTCACAAGTTTTCCCCTCGCTTCCTCTTTCCTCTCTCCCCTCTTAGAACATATGTTGACCGTTGCAAAAAAACAAAAAAGTCTAACCATTTATTTGTTGTGTTAAATTAAGTCTTTGTTTTTTTTATTACAATGTATTTCATCTTACGAAGTTAATTTTATTTTTTAATTTTATCACTAACACTTGATTTTTATATTAAATTTAGTTTTTATTCTTTTAATTGAAATGTATTTAGTATTCAATAATTTATTGAGTTAATTTTTTTTTTAATTTTATCATTTTAAATTTATTTTTAATATTAGATTTGATTATCATTCTTTTAATTTTGATGTTTTTGATCTTGCATCCTTTGTTGAATTAATTTGTCCTTCAATTTCATCCATTGACATTTAATTTTTATATCTGATATGATCCTCATTTTTTTTATTGATATCTTTAGTTGTTCGTGTCCTTTTTTTAATTAAAATTATTTTTCAAATTCATCTTTTATGATTTGGTTTTACCTTTTTTTTTGTCAAATTTTGTTCTCTCTCTTTTCAAATTTATATTTTTAAATTTTTTTATTTATTTATTTCAAGTTTTGCTCTAATTATTTTGGTTGGCTGTGAATTTTATATTGTTATTTTTTGGATTTTTCTTTTATGTTGTGATTTAGCCACATAATTCATGTCATAAGTTTTGAAGGTTGGATCAGGTTAACTCCAGTCATTTTTAATTATGTTTTTATTCCTCAATATTTAATTTTTTTTATTTTTTATCTAATTTTGATCCTTTATTTTTTTAATTATTTTTTAATCTTTTTCTTAGTTTTTTTTCAATTTAGCCCATAATTATTTTCTTTTATTTTGTTTTTATACCATATTTGATATGCATTGTTTGGGTTTTAAATTGTTTTATGGTTAAATATTTTACCTTGTTATTTTTTCATGGTTGCCTTCTAACAGGACAATCCTTTATTGAAAAATAATTTTTTTTTTAAATTCGTTATTTGATATTTGATTATTACACCTTTAGATTCATTGTTTGTTACATTTTTTTTGTTGAGCTATCACGATCTTATATCCCATGCAATAGGTTAATCAAGTTAACTATGATTGCTTCAAAAAAAAATTTCTCGATTTTTTTTAAGAAATTATTTTTTTTTTACAATTTAATTCTTTGTGTTAAATTATTGGTCCTTGAGCTATGTAATTTTTTTTATTTTTCTTTTATTGGGTTATATCCAGTGCATGTTAGTCAAGTTAACCTAAGTTAACTTGCATTTCTTTTCTCAATGTTTTTTTATTCAACTTTGGTCATTTTTACTAAGTCTTTCTTTTGAAAATCTATTTTTTTATTCCAATCTCATGTCGCGGGTGAAAAGTTGGTCAAGTTAACCCGAGCTGACTCAATTTTTTTTCTCATTTTTTTATGTATTTAATTTTATCATTTTATATTAAATCATTTTCTCTTGAGCTTTGTCAAAAAAATTTCACTTTTCTTTCTATTTGGTTATTCTGAGAGCAAGTTGGTAAACTTAACCCAACTTGGCTTGGAATTTTTTTGACATATTTTTTTATTAAACTTTATGTTTTTTTACTAGGTTCTTTTTTTAAAAAAAAATTTTATCTTGATTTCATATCACGGGTTATAGGTTTGTCAAGTTACCATAAGTTGACTCAAGTTTTCTTATTCAATGTTATATTTTTTTTTCTTTTTTGATATTATGCTATTAGACTTGAACTTTACATTTTCTTTTCTATTTTCTCTCTACTAGATCTTTTGGTCTCATAACCTAAATCATGTTTTAGTTAATTTAACTTAGTTTGTCTCAAATTATTATTACCTGAATGTTCCCTTTTAGCATTTGAAAAAATTTGGTGTGGCCCGTGATATAACGCAAATCACTTATCTATTATACTTCCAATTAAATATTAAATTTGATAGTTTGTAAAGGCACATGTATATAATATTTTTTTAAATGCATATCAAGTTTGATGATTTTTTTTAGTATTTTTAAATTATTTTAAATATCAATTTAAATTAAATAATTTTTAAAAAACTATCTCAAGATAAGTTTGAGGGTTCAACATTGCATTCCAATAGAAGTTGCATCTTTTTTCTGATATTATTTTATTTTAATAGTGAAAATATTCTTAGCTTTTATAGATGAAAATCGGTATTTTTAGTTGAATTTTAAATAGATTATCCGTATCATGCAGGGTGCATTAATGAGAAATTAAATGTTTTTATCATTAAAAATATATGAAGGCAGCTTCGCTAAGATGACACTTCACTACAAGTAAAACATTAGCCTGACCGCACCATGGTTTGAAATTGCTCTGCGGGGTCCATGGCTATGACCGTGAATGCCTCCATGCGACTCACGAGGATGTGAGGCTGAGGGGGCCAATATTCAAACAAACAGTAATAGAAGGCAACTATAATTCTAGGCTTTGACAGAATGCGAACTAGCGGGGTACCATATTTGTCTTTTGTCTCTATTTGAATACGTGTCGTGGAAATATTTAGGTAGCACCAAAACAACTTAAAACGTGTGGTGATCATTGTTTCAATCAGGGTTATCAATCCATGTCATGTGATGGTCTCCTAGAAACCTAATGTTCAACATGCACGTGAATAAAATTTGAGTGTCTGGATAGGGAATCATATTTAATTTTTAGAACTAGAAAGATTGAGGATTGGTGATTGAAGTTTTAATTCCACCGAGTAGTTTTTTTTATATAGGTTTTAGAAATGATTTTATAGTAAGGAATTATAATAAATAAAGAAATAAGCATTCAACTCTAAAAATAAGATGTTTGTTCATAAAAGATACTTCGAGAATACATGACAAAAAAATAAATCTTATGAATCCTTCACTTATGTGGGAGTGTATTTATAATCTTTGTACTACGAACCATGTTATTTTTCTTAAGGGATCGAAAGTCCTTTTCTCTCGAAAATCTTAATAAGGAAGAAATCTTTTACATAAATTTTAATGTTGATAAGAATTATCTTTCTCACATTATTAGTGTTGATAGAAAAACAGTAGAGCTATAAAGGATTTTTGTACCATATTTCATACACAATATTATTGTTGATGATTCATTTCATAACATTTATATTGATTGAAATATATTAGCTTTTAGAATACTTTCATACACTTAGTACACTTAGAGATGTATAGAAATAATTAGTTTAAACTCTTAGCCTCGTAACTCAACATACTTTCAATTATAAAAATAAGATATT